AAACTTAGAACTGAGGCACAAATGGAGATTTATACAACAGTGTTCATAGAACTGTTTACCATCATAAGAACATGGAAACAGCTCAACTCTCCAACCACAATTGAATGGTTAGAAAAATTATGGTACACTCACATGATACAATACTATGCAGCATGCAGAAACAATGATTTTGAAAATCAATGCCTAACACGGAGGGACTAGAGAGTATTATGCTATGTGAACTAACTTGCTCCCATAAGGGTAAATATTGTTTAAGACCATTGTTGTAGAAATAGAATTATAACTAGTAAAGTGTGTATGATGATACAAGAGGTAAGAGGGAAGCAGAGGGGTTTTGATGAGTGAAGGGGGAAGGTAAAGGAAATGAGGAAGATCTCATTTGAAAAACAAAGTATACAAATATTGTAAGTAAACCAGTATAAAATAATTTTATTAAAAAAGAAATCAAGTGTTGCATGGGATTATATCTGACCTTTACCAACTCACAAAGGAGAATGTCCCAGTCAATAACATCAACACAAAACCAAATCATATAAAGTCTGACATGTCCTCTATGCTCCTAATACCAATATCATTGCTTTACTGGGTCCAAAATCCAGTGTGATAACTCACAGACCACACAGAACCATATTGGGAAGGCAAAGGTTATAATCAGATTAGGAACCGAATACAGTCAGGACAGTTTCTGAAATGTGTTTGCAGGGGCTTCAGTCTTGAGCTTCAGTTTTAGGCCAGTGTTACAAAGACTCAGTCCAGCCAATTATGGCTTTATCCCCTAGCCAGTTTTCCAATAAATTTTGGCAAAGGCTCTGGTTTCATGATGTGGCAGTCCCAAGGTCCCATCTCATCTGAGGCATCTAGTTCTCTGTCTCATGTCTGGTTCTCCACTATGGCTGCTGCTTCTGTAGGCACAGTTTGGCTAGCACAAGAATCTCTGGCTCAATAAGACACACTATATTCTCTTGCTTCCTCTTTTGCAGATGGGGAAGATCCTCTAATTTTGCTGCTGTATTTGATCAATTTAGAGTTGAGACTAGCCAATTCCCCTGTGGACTGGTAAAACTAGCCACCCCCTTTTCGATTGGTGAAACTAGTCAACCCTCTTGTGGATAGGCTAACATACCCTATTCACATGTTCATGCCCATGCCCATGGCAAAGTAAGTTAATGGATAGGGAAGCCATTTTGGACAAAACCCTTTAATATCACAGGGACATTATCTTTGCAGACTGTGTTATGCTAATTGAGCCTGATGTCTCCCAAGACTATGTTCTTGAGTTCTCAGATCAACTAACACATTCCCTCAAGAAGTTTCATAATTCTGCCCCATTTCCTCTGCTATATCTAGAATCTATTTCTAGCATATAGGGAGCTCTGATGACCTAGTGGTAAGACGCTATGCTTTTACAAAGGCATGTGGTTCAAATCAGATAGCTGCTCTGTGGGAGAAGGATGGACAATCTCCTCCCTTGCCATTTATTGCCAATGAAAACCTACTGGAGGATCAGTTATGAGTCAGTTCCAACTTGACAGCACACAGTATCAACAACTTACAGAATATACTGCATGGTTTAAAATCAGGAAAGATATTTATTAAAATTGTATCCTTTCTGCATAACAACTCAATATTTTTGCTGAGCAAATAATTCAAGAAGCAAACGAAGCATCGAGTTTGGAGAAAAACTCATCAATAACTTACATTAAGCAGAAAACACAAACTTGCAGATAGGGAAGATGACTTGAAGTACATCAAGAAGATCAAAAACTTCAATATGGATTATACTTCAACATCAGGAGGGAAAAATCCCCCTCCCAATTAGACCAATAGAGAAGAACTATCATGATAAATGGAGAAAAGGGTGAAGTTGTCACCTAATGAATTTAATTTGTACCCATAACAAACACATATGGGAGCAGGAGTTAATTAAGGTACGTTACATTGGAAAAACCTGCTTACAAGCATCTCTTTATAGAGCAAAGATGTCAATTAAAAGACTAAGGTGCACCTGACCTAAGCCATAGATTATTAATTGATTCATTAATTGATTTCATGTGGAAATTGAACAACAAATAAAGGAGACCAAGAATTATTTCATGCCTTTGCATTGTGGTATTGGTGAAGAGTACTGAATATCCCATGGACTTCCAAAAGAACAAACAAATCTATCTTGAAGGAAATGGAACTAGAGTGCTCCCTGTAGGCAAGGATAATGAAAGTCTGTCTCAAATACTTTGGTCATATTATCAGGAAGCACTAGTTCTTGTAAAAAGACTGTATGCTTGGGAAAGTGGAGGGTCACAGAAGCAGAGGAATACCATCAGTGAGATGAAGTGACACAGTGACTGCAAGGAAGGCCTTGAGAAAGGGGGAAATTTTGCAGATGCACAGTGTAGGGTAAGGTTTCTTTCAATGTATTATTCATAGAGTCACAATGAATTAGTCACCCCAAAAGAATCTGCACAATAACAGGGAACGTGTAGATATGGATGTAAAAATATCTGCCAGACCTCTATGATCATAGGTATAGCCCCAACACTTACACATACATATTCATATTGCACGTCTAGAGGCTAGTACTTTGAACTCATTGAGAGAATAAATAACAAGACTTGATAACATATCATCTGTAGTGTTCAGTACTATAATATGCTTATGCTTTTAATATAAAACTACTTCTAAAATTATCAGAATATTTTAAAACTGTTGAAATCATAATCTAAAACTCTTTTTTGTACTTACTGTTATGTTCTATCCATTTTACATATTGCCGTTGTCTATTATTTGGTATGCTGGTGCAATGAGTAAAAATGACAATTTTCAACCAAATTTATTTCTAAAATAGTAATTCAGATTTCTAATTTCAAATCTGATTTCCAATTTGTATACAATCTAATGCTCAATCATGACTTTTACTCATAGAAGATAAGGCAATTCCTAGAGTACTTGTAGAAAAATAAAATATGTCAGTTACTTCTTAATAATAACAATGGTCTCTGGCTGAAAAAATAAACAACAAATAATTTAACTTACTTTTAAAGAAATATTACCAAATTCTCAAGAGGCAATTTATGCAGACATAATGAGCAGATTCAAAGTTTTAGAAATTAAAAATATCAGTTGAAGGATGACTATTACATCATGCAAGTGATTATATCAAATATTAAGCATACAACCTATTAAGAAAATAAATTTTTATGTAGAATTCTTTGTTACAAAACCAAAAGTTGGGTGGTGACATAGTAAGGTAAGCTAATGTTTCAGTTTGTTAAAATTCTTTACACATTACACTTAATGACAAGTTCCTTGTTCCCTTAATCATTTTAAAATATAAATATACAAAATTTAAAGCTTCAAAGGGTTTTTTGAGTATATTAAATATGTTGTTTGTTGTTATGTGCCGTCGAGTCGTTGGCGACTCATAGCGACCCTATGCACAACAGCCCTAAATCCTGCTCTATCCTGCGCCAACAGCACTGCCTCTGACACACCCATCCCTATTACCCCCATCACCGAATCAATCCATTTCATAGAGGGTCT